CACCACCCACCGCCAACTCTTGGGCTACTCTTTTACCAACGAATAGTGGGATTAACCGTCACATTATAACGCCTCCACGGCTGAAAGGGCGAGCATGTTTGGCGTGACAGGGATTCGAACCCGCAACCCTCAGATTGCGAGTGGAGTGCCTTAACCACCTGGCCATACCGGGCAAAAAAGTATGAGTCATATGTAAGATTATAAGGAATGTCAACGAATCGAAACTTGAAACTAAAACGTTTCTTAATCAAGTGGTATCTTAATTCTAAACCCATTCTTTGAAGCTTAAAAGTAAGAGGTTTTTGGTTAATTCTCACGTTTTTCATTGAAATAAACGCATATGAAAAAATAACAAATAAAATTTACATACGGAAGTGTAGAACTGGTATTTCGTGGATTAGAAAAACATAAAATTTATTAACATTGTAGCAGTTTATTGAAGAAGCATCGAATGTTACCAGTTAAATATTCCTGTTACATTACAACCAAACAATGTATTACTTTTGTTTCCCATATCCTTTTTACACAAAGCGCACCTTGCAAACTAAATGTTCTCACGAAATCATTTTCTTATCAAATATTCGTTCATAGAATGATGTATTTATAGTAATTAAAAATAGAGCTGAAGTTTTAATTACTTGAAATTACATCAACAGAAAGCCTTATGGCTAATGTGAAAATTGAATTGCTTTATATACTTGTTCAATAATACTATTTAAAGGTTTGACTTTTATTAAAACAAATAATTAATTCCCGAAAAAGCTACTATCTTATTTCTTTTTTTTATGAAAACTTAATGATAAAAATCTTTGAATCAGCTGTTCTTTCTCTGCACTAACTTAATCACGATCTGATCGCAGGTTAGGAAGTGTCCGGAATTAACCGGCCAGCTTTATGTGGCTTGTGTGTGTGTGTAATTTTAAACTCTTGTGTAATATTTCAGTGTTTCCTTGTTTAGAAAAAAGAGCACAGTTTTAGCGCGGTAGAGACTATAAATACTGTAAAGACTGAGAGTGAAGCAACAGACTCACCAACTGGTCTTCTGTGTGATTGTTCAGGACTCAGAAAGAACTGATATGCTAGTTGTAAGTATATAACAGTGTTTTTCAACAGACACGAAACGACGTAACTTTAAGTTCAGAGATTTAATCCTCATTTTATCTAGATGAAGGAAAGATATGAAAGCTAAGAGAATACGATCAGTTTTATCAGTGAAACAGTATGTTAAAATGTATGACACTTTTCAGGAATTACAAAATATACCGTGAAAAGTTAATTTAAAAACTTTTATGTAGTGTCCAAATAATTACCTGTTGAGTTTGTTCCTGTTTTTATTTTAATAAAAAATATATAGTTCTATGAGGAAAAGCTGTGATATTCTAGGCCATATTAATCAAAGAGAAAAAAAACAAGTTTTACTTTACTGTAAAAAAACCTGCCAATATTGGTAGTGAAATATTTACATATGTGTGTAAAACTATGAAACAAAACCCATTTCGGTCCCATTATTCTCAGAGTAAAGCCCAAAACTCTCAGTCTTCGAGAAGATATCCTGATAACGTACAGTAAAATATAGTCTTTTGTGTGAAACCAAGATAAAATTTTTGGTCCATGTTAATCATAGAGAAAATACCAAAATTCTAAATCTACGGGAAGATATCTTGTTCATATTATTAAATTTAACCCAAACACACACACGTACATACAAACACACATTCAGATGTCGTTAAGTTAAAAAAATTCTTATATCTAATCTGTAGGCCGTGGTTTTAGTGCTACTTCTTGGAGCAGCTTTCGGCGCTGAGGATAAGAAGGAGGACTTGAAGAAATCAGAGACATATGCTACACCTTACTACGGTGGTGGTTACGGACCTGGTCACGGTCCGTAACCTACAGGTTTGCGGTGTCCACCATAATCGTTCAATCCATGCTGTGCACCGTACAGTCCATGGGAACCACCAGCATTATGAAAGCCGGACTTCTTGTCGTAAGAGTAAGCTTTCTCATACCCGACACCCTTGTTACGGGCGTAGTGGTCAACGTCTTTAAAGCCACCACCATAGCCGACATGAGCACCATGGGCACCCAAATTCCTGTGGCCAGCATAATCATGAAGTCCGTGTAGTCCTTGTCCGTACCTACCATGAAGTGCGTGTAATCCATAGCCACCTTGTCCGTGAGCACCATAACCGGCGCCATAACCACTGTAGCCACCATATCCATTAATAGGTGCATAACCATAGTCCATAGGAGTTTACGACGGGCATGGTGGTGCTGCTTACGGTGCTAGGGATCTATATGGACACCAAAGGTATGGCAAATATGGTCATCTGGGTGCCAACTACGGTGGCCTTGGAGACTTGGGCTATGGTGGATATGGCCACGGAGGATTAGGCTATGGTGGATATGGTAACGGAGGATTAGGCTATGGTGGATATGGTCACGGAGGATTAGGATATGGTGGATATGGTTACGGAGGGTTAGGCTATGGTGGATATGGTCACAGAGGATTAGGCTATGGCGGAGTTGGCTATGGAGGGCTAGCCTATGGTCATTAATAATCTGCATATATTGTATGCAAATAACGAGGTAATGGTAACACTGTTTTAAAATTAATATATTAGTAATGTTTACCATTGTCCTGTACGAAAATGTAAAATAATAATTTTATGTAATATAATAATACTTGATGTGCAATAGCTGAACATTGAGAGCAGTAAGCTGTATTTGAAACTTCATGACATAGACATGTTTCTCATGAATGTCCACAAAATAGATGAAAGAATTATAAAGAAAATGTTTCTTAAAAAATAGTATTTTACTCTATATAGTTAGAGTCTTTAAAAAACAAAAAAAAAATATTTATTTTATTCTAAGAAAATTCAAATAATTGAAAAGAAGAAGCTTTATTCCTCCACCAATAATCTTTACAGTTTATGGAGCTACAATATGAAACTACTACCTCCGTTTGCTGTTTTAAGAAACATTAGTGTATAATATCGCTTTCCTCGGACCGCAGTTTACTTTAGTTTCTATATCACTGATATCATTGTATTTGTTCATCTATTATAAAAAATATTGTAAACGATTATTTGGTCCAGAATAACTCTGTTCATTCGATATAAGGAAATGCTTTATTAAACAAATACAGTTTTTATAGGTTTTGTATATCGAAACTGTCTTAAATAAATGGTTGATAAATATTCCCTTTGATGTGATATGATTGATAAATGTTAAAAGTAACACACTACACATTACCACAAATTTATTTTAACCTTTAGCTACATAAAATTTGATTATTGTTTGTTTGTAGTTAAGCATAAACCTACACAAAGTCTATCTGTGCTGTGCCTACCACAGGTCTCGAAACCTGGATTTTAGCGTTACAAACCTTCAGACTTACTGCTTAGCCACTAACGATCCTACATAAAGAAATTTTTACATGCAAGATTTGTTTTTCAGTGTGTGTGTGTTAGGGTATTTTTAAGTACTAGTTAATTTTTCTTCGGTTATAGTTACAGTATTTGAATCTAAACTACGTGACAGAGGGACGCGCATTCTTCACACAATTCAGTTGAAGTACTGTATCAGTTAGAAATAATATAAAATATCCACATTTCTATACACCAGTCAGCTTAGCCTATCCTTCATCTAAGTTCACATTAAAGACACTTAAATGTTGTTGTTGAAATACATAAGATGTATGACATTTTCTTTCATTCTTTGTTGCAATATCTGAAGTTATAATTTGTATTACAGTTTCTAATTCAAGCAACTGTTATTCTTCTAAAGAAACAGCTAATTTTTCTATGAAGTGAGCCATATGGGAACTCATTTAACCCCAGTTAAGTTCTTTAGAGTTAGTGTTGTTTCAAGATAATCTTGAGAGTTTCGATATAAATGAACCGTTCAACAGCATATAAATAAAGAAGTTATTTGATTTGTATTCAGTTGTCTCTGTTTGAGTTCTTTATTCCACACGTAATCTTCCTCGAGTTGGTGGCTTGTGTGCTCCGCTCACAACTGCACGATCCGAAATCCAAATAAATTTCTTTGTAACGAGTGTAAAGTCGAACCCAAAGACTAAACCCACAGGCTGCCCACAACTTCGTTACAGATTGACAATAAAACAATAAGTAACAAATTTAATTTTTCAATATGTTATTTGGGAATTTCTCGTGTTAACTTACTTGATAACTTAACTAATGATGTGTCTATGTTATTGAACATAATAGAAGGTCTTACTAACGAACATCTAGACTCTCAAAAGGAAGAACTCAGTGAGTACGATCATAATCTGTATAGCTGTATTAACAATTATTCTAAGATATCTTTCAGTAGTTCTACTATAAGTGTTATTAAATCTACTATTTCTTTAGTACAGTTAGTATTCTTCACTATTCTCTCTTCATACATTATGGAACCTTAAGTGAAACACTGTTAGACTAGATCAGAAATAGCATACTTACAAGGAGTTTGTGTGGCAAACTTCTTGTAGATTCTGGATTACTGCCATCTTCTTCTGGACTCCGATCAAACTAGAGAAGTCGGAGAAGTGCCGTTTAGAGTCGGAAACACGGAATTATAGACACAATTTTTAGTGTTTTTCCGATTGTTCAAGAAGTTTAGCAGATCTACTTTCAAAAGTAGTTCCTTTAACTCGATTGGTACAAGTGGGATCTTTCAGCAACAAGTGGACTTTTCCATCAGACTGTAACCAAAATCCACTTTGTTATTGATCCTTACAGAACTTATTTCTGTCCCTTATCTAATATCTTTGGCGAAATCATCCAATACCATTAACTTAGGGCGTATAGAGACAAACCATGTAATTCCAGTCTCTTCATTACAAGTATTTTACTCTTGTCTTTCATCGCCGTCCGTTAACCGCTTTTTGTGTATCATTGGCTCATTTCGTCATGGTTTTATTTAAACTATTGGGGTTCCAACACATACTGCTGTGTTACTGGGGAGGGGTGGGGCTCTACAAATCAGATATTTTGAACAAAATTCAGCATTATAAGAGTCAATGACTCTTTTTTTTTTATATCAATGAGTATAAGAAATGAGATTAGGATAATTATATATGTAAATAATATCAAATCATAAAAGTACTCTTTCTGAAATTCACAAATAAAAACATTCTCAAAATTTAAACATGGGCAAGTCGCAATTAAAAATGATGTTAAAGGTGAATTAATTAACACATGAAGTAAAAATTTTTCTTAACAATGAGTTATCTTAATTCTCCCTTTTCTCGAGATGTACTTCGAAAAAATAATCGATGAAAGTTAACATCGGAAGTGTAAAACTAGTACTTCGTGGATTACACTAATGTAAGATGTGTTTTCCTTGTAGCAATTTATCATACTGCCAAAGTGATGAAGCATCGAACGTTGCCAGTTAAATGTTCATGTTTCCCTACAACCAAACTAAATACACATTTTTTCATATGTGAACTAAAACTTGACATGAAATTATTTCCTTGTCTAACATGTTTTAAAAAATCCAGGTACACGTTTCGATAAAATACAAATATAACTTAGCATTTAAAACTTATTGGACATACTTTGACCGAAAATATTATTGCCATTTACAAAAACTGGAACGATTTGTATATATCTGATTAATAATACTATCTTATGGTCTGATTTTATAAAAGGAAATATACACATTCCTCGAAAAGCAAATATCAGATCTCTTTCTATCAAACTGTTCAATGATCACCTAATGATAAACGTTTTTGAATCAGCTGTTTTCTCTGCACCATGTTAATCACAATCTGCGTTCAGACTACGACGTGTTCGGAATTAACATACTTGATTTCTGTCACAGTTTTTTTCTTGTGTGAATTTCAACTCTTTGTACGATTTCAGTATTTCCTTGATTAGAAAATAAGAATACAGTTTTAGCGCGGCAGAGACTATAAATACTGTAAAGACTGAGAGTGAAGCAACAGACTTTCCAACTGGTCTTTCCTGTGTGGTTGTTCAGGACTCGAGAAGAACTGATATGCTAGTTGTAAGTATATAACTCTACTTAGCGTTTTTCATTCTCAAATCTTAAAACGACGAAAATTCAAACAGGAATATTTAATTTTCAATTTATCTACATCAAAGAAAGATATGAAAGCTAAAGAAAATATGATTAATTTTGTCGGTGAATAATTATACAGAAATTCTTTAAAATGGAATTTCTTCTGGAACTTTAAAATTTATCGTGAAAAGTTGAATTAAAAATATTTATCTAATGTCTAAACGCCCTCCAGTAGCACAGCGGTATGTCACACACACACACTGAAAACCAAATATTACATGTAAGAATTTCTATATGTAA